GTTATGATAAAAGGACGACAGTGCATGCTAGAGTTGCAGAGCATTCCGTGTGCGTGTGTGAACATGGACGGTCTACCACTCTCGTACAAAAAAAAATTCACTTTTTCGTGGCAATTATTTTAATCACATATTTCATAATATTCGTAATTTTTTAATCATATATTTCACCTTTTTTTTTTTTTTATCGAAATCTACTAAAATTTTAATTTTTATCCAAATCAAAAAATGGAATAAATCGGTTATTACATAGTTGAAATCTATTGTTCACATAATTAATTATTATCACATCATTTTTAAATTAACATATTATATCAAATTTATCCTCATTAATTTCACCACTAAACAACCAAATTGATGATATGTTAATTTAAAATAATATTTCAATAATTAATTTGGTGGATAACAAATTGGACAGTAAAAGTTGGACGGCAGATCTCAACTCGATTATTACATAGTAATGCTATTCGTAGTCAATCACAACGACGTCGCCCTACATGGTATAGATATGACATATGATTATTTGATACTTTAATGTAATAATTTTTTATTGACTCATGCATCAAAACGTACGACAACTAGGAATAACATTATTCATTATTACAACCTCTTTATGTACATAGTGATTTTTTTTTTTTTATCTAAATATCCGCAAGTGTTGGTAACTAGTTTCACGGATAGTCTATTTTTGGATGAAATGAGGGTTGAGTTCTGTTTCGTGAAAGACACCATCGCTTGTATAATTAGAAAGTAGGTTTAAGTTTTACTCAAATTTATAAACATTCTAATCACTTTTTATTCACATATTTTATAAAATTTACAAATATTATCTATCTATAAATAACATATTTCTATCGAAACACCGTTTATAAACAATTTTTTTAGACGTGCTTTAAATTTGGAAAGTTTTTTCCGACTCATTTCGGAATAAGGAAATAAAAAATGAATACGATATGTACGAAAGAAGTCCAATTAGAATTCCAATATTTATCAAGCAATATGTTTTTTGCAGAATTAAAAAGAAAAAAAATCTTGAATTCTTTTTTTTTTTTTAATTGTTTTTTTATGAATGAAATGTCTTGACTATTTCGATCTCAAAATACCTTGTGTGCTTCCGCATGATGGAAGTCCTCGAACTTTTAAGAAAAATATTTTTTTTACATAACTATTTACATAATATTTTACATAATGATGAAATGTCAAAATGTAAGTCGAGAAATTATTTGATCGATGAGATTTTGATCCAATTATATCTCGTCACATCATTTATTGGTAAATTATTATATAATTTGTTATGCACATATAGCAAAACTCAGCTTTTAATAATAGGGAAAACTAATAAAATATTTCAACTTGAGATCATTAATTTTTGAACAATTTTTTAATTTATAAAATTGATCTCAATTTCTCCTAACTCCTTAAAACTTAATTATTATCATTTCAAAATGTTGTAAGATGTAAAATAATAATAATAATAATAATAATAATAATAATAATAATAATGGATCCACGTAGGTTACATCAACGAAATTCAACTTTACGTACCAAACGAAGACGACATTGGTCTACGTGTCTCAATTATGCGGCATTTCCGCCGTTCAAAAAATTTTTAATTGGGTCAAAAGAACCAACTTTCCTATCATTATACATGTGAATATCGACAAATGAGGAGGTCTACATATTTGAAGTATACGTGTCATGGATTAACATATAAATTTTATCGACTTTTCAATTGCACATCTAATTTTTTTTAATCAAAATCTTCGAAATGTCAATATTTATAGATGAGAATTAATATTGTGGGGGGGATACAATAGTCATTCAATATTCAATTACAACAATCATCCTTGAACAACTAACTACAAAATGTATGTCTCGTTAAAAACCGTCTTTGATAAAAATTAATGGGACAAAAATATCAAATGAAAGAAAAAAGAGTTGAGTAATTTTTTTGAGTATTATAAAACAAATGATGTCTCATTAAAATCTTATGAAAAAAATTTAGTTTAACAAAAATTGAGAAAAGAAAAAACGGTATAGTTATTCCCTCTAATCTTATTTGAGTCGATACATTCCTTGAGCAGTTTTGTTGAATATCGATGTCATCAATCTTTTGAAACCCAAATATTTAGAAGAATTTTGGAGAAATGTTCTTTGTCATGTCCTCTTTGATATAGCCTTCTTGAGTTGTGCAATTCAAGATGAATTGTCTTGATACAATATATTCACCAAGGATTTTGTCTATTTGTGTAAGCGCCTGTTTGAGCCCCACTTTTGTTATAGAATGCATTTTAGAATAGTAAATTGATGAAAAATGCGTGATTAAAAAATAAGTAAAAGTTTTGAATTTACGTTTAATATTATTTTATTGAAAAATGTGATTGAAAAGGAAAAAAAGTATTTTGGAAAAAATGGGAACAAACAAGGGCTAAGTTTACGAAATTCATTATATTGAGAGTCGTGTGTTACATGCATTGCACGTCGTAAAAAGTACATTTTGTTGTAGTAATGTTACGATTTCATTTTTCTTATTTCTTTTTCGCATAAGCATGCACCTTTATGTGTTCAGATTGCATGTCTAGAAACTTCAAATTTCTATGATAATTTCAATTTTAGATGAATTGTCTTTTTATTTAATCAATTATTTCTACATTGGAATTCTTTGATGAGTTTCCTTCAATATTATCGCTATTCTACATAATATAAAGTGCTACATTATGTACAAAAATTTTAACAATTTTTCTTTTCAATTCTTATTGAAATATTTCAATATTTCAAGTACATTAACCTCTTCTGGATTTTACTGTTTGTTATATCTATATANATTCACAAAAAAAAAAAAAAAACAGGAAAATTATATTATAATTTATAATTATTAGAAATGATTGATGAGTTGTCGTGCGAGAGGATTAGAAAATACCGGAAACGCCTGCATTGGGTTTGGTGAAAAGGAGTTTGAAGACTGTAAGCTTTGGGTTGAAAACGTAACGGATGGGGAGTGGCGAAGGATCGAGGGCGTACAGATGGCTGCGATGTGCGTGTTATGATAAAAGGACGACAGTGCATGCTAGAGTTGCAGAGCATTCCGTGTGCGTGTGTGAACATGGACGGTCCACCACTCTCGTACAAAAAAAAATTCACTTTTTGGTGACAATTATTTTAATCACATATTTCATAATATTCGTAATTTTTTAATCATATATTTCACCTTTTTTTTTATCGAAATTTACTAAATTTTTAATTTTTATTCAAATCAAAAAATGGAATAAATCTTTAACAACTAGGTTATTACATAGTTGAAATCTATTGTTCACATAATTAATTATTATCACATCATTTTTAAATTAACATATTATTATCAAATTTATCCTCATTAATTTCACCACTAAACAACCAAATTGATGATATGTTAATTTAAAATGATATTTCAATAATTAATTTGGTAGATAACAAATTGGACAGTAAAAGTTGGACAGCAGATCTCAACTCGATTATTACATAGTAATGTTATTTGTAGTCAATCACAACGACGTCGCCCTACATGGTATAGATATGACAGATAGTTATTTGATACTTTAATGTAATAATTTTTTATTGACTCGTGCATCAAAACGTACGACAACGGGGAATAGCATTATTCATTATTACAACCTCTTTATATACATAGTGATTTTTTTTTTTTTTTTAATCTAAATATCCGCAAGTGTTGGTAACTAGTTTCACGGATAGTCTATTTTTGGATGAAATGAGGGTTGAGATCTGTTTCGTAATAGACACCATCACTTGTATAATTAGAAAGTAAGTTTAAGTTTGACTCAAATTTATAAACGTTCTAATCACTTTTTATTCACATATTTTATAAAATTTACAAATATTATCTATCTATAAATAACATATTTCTATCGAAACACCGTTTATAAACAATTTTTTTAGATGTGCTTTAAATTTGGAAAGTTTTTTCCGACTCATTTGGGAATAAGGAAAAAAAAATGAATAAGATATGTACGGAGGAAGTCCAATTAGAATTCCAATATTTATCAAGCAATATGTTTTTTGCAGAATTAAAAAGAAAAAAAATCGTGAATTCTTTTTTTTTTTTTAATTGATTTTTTATGAATGAAATGTCTTGACTACTTCGATCTCAAAATACCTTGTGCGCTTCCGCATGATGGAAGTCCTCAAACTTTTAAGAAAAATATTTTTTGTACATAACTATTTGCATAATGATGAAATGTCAAAATGTAAGTCGAGAAATTATTTGATCGATGAGATTTTGATCCAATTATATCTCGTCACATCATTTATTGGTAAATTATTATATAATTTGTTATGTACATATAGCACAACTCAGCTTTTAATGATAGGGAAAACTAATAAAATATTTCAACTTGAGATCATTAATTTTTGAACAATTTTTTAATTTATAAAATTGATCTCAATTTCTCCTAACTCCTTAAAACTTATGTACCAATACTTAATAATTATTATTAATTATTATCATTTCAAAATGGTGTAAGATGTAAATTAATAATAATAATAATAATAATAATAATAATAATAATAATGGATCAACGTAGGTTACATCAACGAAATTCAACTTTACGTACCAAACGAAGACGACATTGGTCTACGTGTCTCAATTATGCGGCGGAAAGACATTGGTCTACGTGTCTCAATTATGCGGCATTTCCGCCGTTCAAAAAATTTTTAATTGGGTCAAA